AGGGAGCAGGAGGCCGAACACAAGGTACCATCTGGGAGGTGAAATCCTGCAAGAGTCAAATAGAGAGAAAGATCTGGGGGTTGATATCACACCGAACCAACTTTCAAACCCACTCATCCTATAATTCAGTAACAGAAAACGTGAACTTCTTTGGGATCCAACACTACAGTTGTGTAAGTTTGTATATATAGTTGCAATGTACTGTCATGTTAGGAGGATGGGCTGGTTGGATCACTAGCAGTGTCGTATAACCAAAAAAAAAATATCTATATATATATCCTCCGCTTTATTGATAATTTTTTTTATTTAGCAAAATTAGGTATAGACAGCAATGTGCTGCTACCCTATTCTATATGAGATATTACACAGTGCAGATCAAGAACTAGCTCTAGGTTCAACTATTATTCCCATCTCACAGGATGATTAGTCATACATGAAATTATGATAGATCAAAACAATGAATGTTCCTTATCCCAAGGTCAGACTCCGACCTTCACACTTGTATAAAATATATATTTTTCGCATTTAACACAAATATTTGAACACTATATAGCTCGTTCTGCCTCTGGGACTTGATTTTGACCACTGCTACAACCATGTTATTTCACGAACATGTGAATGGTTCTTATTACTGTGGTTGAGTGATAAAGTGGACCAGGATAACTATGGCGGTGATTCCACTGAGCGCGTGATATATTACATAATGGTATAATTAGCCTTATACTGTTATTATTTAACCCGTTAACAAACAATGTTACAAACATAAATTTTTAAATGATAAATAAATGAAGACTACGAAAGGATGTTTAATAAACAATATTGTGGTATTGGAATACCGAAGGCAACACCTCACTCCATTGGTTCAGCTGAGCAGATTCAAAGGGTCACTTCCTCCCTGGTGGCGGTGTGCTAGTGTACGATGATTACCGTACACACTCAGGACACAACCCTAATGTGTGAAGACCTTCACCTTAATTAATTTTAATTTAGACCCGAGGGGCAAGTTTTCTGGGCAGTAACCTGATAACCTTATCCATTACCAACCGCTGTAACCTTATCCCCTACCACTCACAAAATGGGTATGAGTTACATAATAAATGAGCTAAACTAAACTTCACAACACTCCATTTAATTTTTCATTGTGTCGGGGGACAGGCAGCCTGAGTGTTTATACACGTTCGGCTTATATTGAGAAAATTGTCAATTTACTGGTGTGAAAACTGAAACTGTGTATGGAGTCAGCCGCCACCATATCACTTCCTAACATTTATTACACTATTCTGACACTGATAAAGTTATTTCTAATGTCTCTGTGGCTCATTTGGGTGTTACTCTTGTGCGTGTACCACCCGTTGTAAATAATGTCTTTATCTATCCTCTTAATTCCCTTCAAAATTTTGTATGTGGTAATCATGTCTCCCAAATTCTTCTATCTTCCAACGACGTAGGGTGCAATTCACCCAGGCTTTCCTCGTAACTCATACCACTTATTTATGGGAGTATAGTTTAGTGGCTTACCTTTGAACCTTCGTCTTATGCTTGACAAGGTATGGACTCCATGCTGAAGCCGCATGCTCCAGGATTGGTCTTACAATGTGGTGTACAAGGTTCTAAATGATTCCTTACACAAGTTTCTAAAGGCAGATCTGATGTTAGACCAGCCTCACATACGCCGCTGATGATATTATTTTGATGTGGACTTCAGAAGACATGTTCGGCGTGTTATCAACTCCTAAATCTTCCTGTCTCTCCGTTTCGCATAGGACTTCGTCTCCCATTCGGTATCATGTGTCTGACCTCCTGTTTCCTCCACCTAGTTTCATAACCTTACGTTTACTTAGGTTGAACTGTAATTCATTTATTCATTGTGTGTCGAGGGGACAGGAAGCCAGAGTGTATTCATACACGTTAGGCTTTTATCGATGCCCCCCCCCCAAGGCCGAATTACTGACCCCGCCTAGGATGCGACCCCACAACAGTACCTACTTACTGCTAGGTCAACAGAGGCATTAGGTGAAAGGAAATGTGCCCAACCATTTCTGTCCATTCCGGGATTCAAACCCGAAATTCTCGACTATACAAGAATTCTCGAAATCTAGCTATTTATTTATTGTTATATATTTATTTATTTATTTATTCAAGAGGTCTTACATTCTTGTACAGCCACCAGCACGTGAGCGTCTCGGGCAGGTCCTTAACCCTAATGTTCCCAGGAATACGACCCGCCAAATCGTTTAACAACCAGGTACCTATTTTACTTTTGGGTAAACAGAGGCTACAATTAAGGATTGGCGCCTAGTCAATCCTCCCCGACCACGATACAAACCTATGCCAAAGCGCTCCCGAAACGCCGAGTGCAGTCTTACCACTTCGCCCTGGGGACTGCTTGTTGACCTATTGCCGCTGCTTGCTGCTATTGACCTATATAATCTGTAATCTCCAAATCCAAAATTCATTTTGTGTGGGGACAGGCAGCCTGTGAATATGTATATACGTTAGGTTTGTATCGAGGTTCCTAAGGTGGAACTACTGACCCTCCCCCAGCATGCAGCCCCACAAACGTTGACCAACTGTTTCTGTCCTGCCGTCGTAATCAAACATCAGGGGCAAATGGCAGGACCTTTGACAAGCCACCGGCTTCCTGTCCTCATCGAGGGCCACTACAGTGCTAGTGCCCCTCAGGTAAATTCGGGTAAACTATACACCAGTCGGTTGTGACCCGACTGCGCTGGCCACAGTGAACCTACATAAGAGTAGTAGATGTGTAAAGAAAAGTTCCTATAGCTGCATGCATGGTTTAGGCTTATCGAGTTACCCCCCCCCCCAACCCAAAGGTTGGGGGGGGGGTAACGTATATACATATTCACATCTTCCCCAGGATGCATCCCACAACAGTGTCCTATCTCAAGTATACATATTTACTACTCGATGAACAGAGGCATCTGTCCATGTGGTACAGTAGTATATTTAGCACCCTGGGCTCGCCCCACGCCTTGCCGACATTTTCGGCCGGATTCGAGCCATGGGCATGCTGGGAGGGTTGACTGGGTACCACTCTAACTGTTCGTCCCGGCTGTTCGTTCAGCAGGGCTTAGGGCCACTGGTTGTAGACCAATTGGCGGACTAGCAGGGTAAGGGTTGAGACGAGCTGTTGGGAGGGCGACCTTTAAGCCTACTAACATGAGTGACAAGTAGTTTTCCGTTCTTGTATGTGTTAAAAAAAATACATCCCGCCCTATCTCCGGGTGTTGAACTTGGGGCCAAGTGGAGCCGATTTCTACGCTATTAACTAACTGTATATATAAATATATATTAGTATATTTTGGTAGCAGTCTTTCCTGTAGACATATATTATTAAATATGACCGAAAAAGTAAGATTAATAATTCTAACACGAATTTTCTCAATCTTTCGTACATTACGCTTCACTGTTGGAGGTAAATCAAAAATCACTTCTCCAAAATTCATTTTTATTTCTAGTCTGACGCGACACGGGCGCGTTTCGTAAAACTTATTACATTTTCAAAGACTTCACAAATACACAACTGATTAGAACGTATCTCTGATTTTATATCTACATTTGAGTGAGGTGGTAAGGGTGATGTGGCATTAACACAAGACAGAACAGGAGGGGATATTAATAGGGTATTAAAAGTATCAACACAAGACAGAACAGAAACAATGGGTATTGAATAGAAGTGTTTGTAGAAAGCCTATTGGTCCATATTTCTTGATGCTTCTATATTGGAGCGGAGTCTTGAGGTGGGTAGAATTCTACCCACCTCAAGACTCCGCTCCAATATAGAAGCATCAAGAAATATGGACCAATAGGCTTTCTACAAACACTTCTATTCAATACCCATTGTTTCTGTTCGTTCTGTCTTGTGTTGATACTTTTAATACCCTATTAATATCCCCTCCTGTTCTGTCTTGTGTTAATGCCACATCACCCTTACCACCTCACTCAAATGTAGATATAAAATCAGAGATACGTTCTAATCAGTTGTGTATTTGTGAAGTCTTTGAAAATGTAATAAGTTTTACGAAACGCGCCCGTGTCGCGTCAGACTAGAAATAAAAATGAATTTTGGAGAAGTGATTTTTGATTTACCTCCAACAGTGAAGCGTAATGTACGAAAGATTGAGAAAATTCGTGTTAGAATTATTAATCTTACTTTTTCGGTCATATTTAATAATATATAAATATATATATATATATATATATATATATATATATATATATATATATATATATATATATATATATATATATGTATGTATGTATGTATGTATGTATGTATGTATGTATGTATGTATGTATGTATGTGTATATATATATATATATATATATATATATATATATAATGTGTGTGTGTGTATTCACCTAGTTGTGCTTGTGGGGGTTGAGCTCTGCTCTTTCGGCCCGCCTCTCAACTGTCAATCAACTGTTTCTAACCACTACTATTTTTTTCACATTACACCCCCCCAGAAAACAGCCCGTGACAGCTGACTAACTCCCAGGTACCTATTTACCGCTAGGTAACAGGGGCATATTGTGAAAGAAACTCTGCCCAATGTTTCTCGCCGGCGCCCGGGATCGAACCCGGGACCACAGGATCATAAGTCCAGTGTGTGTGTGTGTGTGTGTGTGTGTGTGTGTGTGTGTGTGTGTGTGTGTGTGTGTGTGTGTGTGTGTGTGTGTGTGTGTGTGTGTGTATCACGAAAATTAACGTGATAAAAAATGTGACAATGTCAAACCACGAAGGAAGGATTTAGACTGGAATTTCCTTAAGTATTTTTGTATTTAACAATACATCTTCAGAAGGGCGGATTTATAGATCGGTAAGTTGGCTATATAGGCAGGAAGTGGGTGTTAATTATAGGGGTATGACAAGAGCCTGAAGGAGTACAAGTGTTGGCAGGAGTACAAGTTCTGGCAGTAGTACGACAAGTGCCTTCAGAAGCTCAATAAGTGGTCGCAGTAGTACGACAAGTGCCCTCAGAAGTACAATAAGTGGTCGCAGGAGTACGATAAGATACTCCTCCCGGCCCCGGGACCATAACCGCCCTGCGGCACTCTGTTGACACCTGGGTGACCAGCTGGGACTCTGCTTCCGCTTCTCCCAAACTCTCTATATAAAATGGGGAAAATCAGTTGTAAGTACAAACCTGTAGTGACAGTTGTTGCATATTTGTTGGCCAGACATGTGTACTGCTATAATCCGGAGGCATTTAATACGATGCATTAATGAGTTTGTAAATAAAAGGCATAAAAAATGACATTGTGGTGGTGAAGAGATCTGTTTGGCTGGACGTAGCATGACAGTTTGACTCAAGTTTATGCAACTTGGATTAAGAATATATTGAGATCATAGAGGATTGTGTGTGAAGTAGTATGGGAAGTAGAGAGGAAGTAGTAGGGGCCATTTTTTTTTAAAGTCCCAGATATTGTGAATGTTTGTGTATGGCGAGAGGTTTGGTAATGTTTTCTCACTAGGAAATATTTGGATGAGAGATAAGCATTTGAATCATATCCTGAATATACTGTCTCGTTACACCTGATGCCTCTGTTCACTTAACCGTAAATGGGAGTTAGGCAGCTATTGTAGGAGAGGTCAGTAGTTAGCTTAGGGGTAACCTTTGATAAACCTAACAGGCTTCCTGGATCAACAATCACATTTTTTATAAGAGAACTTTTTGGGGGCCTCTGTGGGGTGCGATCAAATCTTAGTCCAAAATGTAAGTTAGTCCCTATATAAGATTATTAGAACTGGCCTGGAATAATCAGTTGTAAAACTTAAGCATTTTGTTCATGTTGAGGATGACCATTGTCATGCCTATCCATCTCCAGGACATTTCCAAGATGGGACTAATCACCCCAACCAGAGTCGTAAGGTTTTCCATTCTCTCTTGGTGAAACTGTCCCCTTTGGAAGGTAACTTGGCCTTTAATTGTTAGATACTGTTGTACATATTACAAAATCTTGCCTTTCATTCCCAGTTTAATTTTCCAGAAGAACTAAACTTTGAGGCTGGTAAAAAGCCTTTCCAATACCATATACAGAAATAATGTACAGAAGTGTAAATATGTTTAATTTTGTCATCAAAGACTGGCACATTCTTGGCCATATATGGTATGAGAATACATTATGAATTTTACTAGTTATTTTGGTCATAACTGAAATAACTAGTAAAGTTATCACTAACTCTTAGTGGTAATACGGCTGAAACAAATAAGCAACAAATTCACACTTTAGAAACAGGAAAAGTGAGGATTTTTTATTTTGTCATGGAGTATTTTCAAGTTTAAACTGAGTTTTAACTTGATAATTGTCCACAATAGATTGAAAAAACTTTGCCTATTTCTAATGAATTTAAATTTCAGTTTTATATTTATTTTTTTAGTTTATTAGTGGAAGCAGTATTGAAGTGAATTAATTGCAAATTATTCCCAATCTGGCTATCATCACTATGCAATGAGAAGGGAGAGTTGTAAGTTTATTATCTAATAAAGCATGTAACTGAAGTTGTACTAATTTGTGATAATGGACTTGGGAAGATAGGAGTAAAGTCCAGAAAGATTGCACGAGTATTGTCGTTGTGTGATTAGATAAGACTTGGAGTAACAAAACTGGTACATTTTGATAAAAACTCGTCACAAGAGGCTTCTAAAACACATTGTCACTGATCATTTATGTGCATCAGGTATTGGTGTGATTTGGCTCACCAATACCTGATGATTTGGCATTTATGTGCTCACCCCCACTGCTTTTCATTCACAGGGGGGCACGCACTGCTCTTCATTCACTGGGGGCGCGCACTGCTCTTCATTCACTGGGGGCGCGCACTGCTCTTCATTCACTGGGGGCGCGCACTGCTCTTCATTCACTGGGGGCGCGCACTGCTCTTCATTCACTGGGGGCGCGCACTGCTCTTCATTCACTGGGGGCGCGCACTGCTCTTCATTCACTGGGGGCGCGCACTGCTCTTCATTCACTGGGGGCGCGCACTGCTCTTCATTCACTGGGGCGCGCACTGCTCTTCATTCACTGGGGGTGTGCACTGCTCTTCATTCACTGGGGACGCGCACTGCTCTTCATTCACTGGGGGCGCGCACTGCTCTTCATTCACTGGGGGCGCGCACTGCTCTTCATTCACTGGGGGCGCGCACTGCTCTTCATTCACTGGGGGCGCGCACTGCTCTTCATTCACTGGGGGCGCGCACTGCTCTTCATTCACTGGGGGCGCGCACTGCTCTTCATTCACTGGGGCGCGCACTGCTCTTCATTCACTGGGGGTGTGCACTGCTCTTCATTCACTGGGGACGCGCACTGCTCTTCATTCACTGGGGGTGTGCACTGCTCTTCATTCACTGGGGACGCGCACTGCTCTTCATTCACAGGGGGCGCGCACTGCTCTTCATTCACTGGGGACGCGCACTGCTCTTCATTCACTGGGGACGCGCACTGCTCTTCATTCACTGGGGGCGCGCACTGCTCTTCATTCACTGGGGGCGCGCACTGCTCTTCATTCACTGGGGCGCGCACTGCTCTTCATTCACTGGGGGTGTGCACTGCTCTTCATTCACTGGGGACGCGCACTGCTCTTCATTCACAGGGGGCGCGCACTGCTCTTCATTCACTGGGGACGCGCACTGCTCTTCATTCACTGGGGACGCGCACTGCTCTTCATTCACTGGGGACGCGCACTGCTCTTCATTCACTGGGGACGCGCACTGCTCTTCATTCACTGGGGACGCGCACTGCTCTTCATTCACTGGGGACGCGCACTGCTCTTCATTCACTGGGGGCACGCACTGCTCTTCATTTATTGAAAGGTGCATTCCCGCCTTTCTCTTTCAGTTTTAATTTCCTCTTTCTTTTAACAAATAATTTTTTAGATGTTTTAAAACGTCATCTCCATTTTTCTGGTGTATGGTTTATGTATCCATCCACACTGCCATAGGATTCTGCTTTTGTCGGCTGGGGCCTGGTTAAGTGTGGGCTCCAGATCCAAGTCTCATTTTGCTCTATCGGGGTAAGGTAGTTGGGAAGCTGGGTTCTCGGCCACATTTTCCCCACTCCTTAAAGATAGGTTATCTGCAAGTCTGATGAGCCCACATAAGCAGAGCAGTGGGTGGCTGGGCTGACACAACCATACCTCAAGATCAGAATAATGTGATTGGTTAATTTGTGATATTTTGTTCTAAGCAAGTTTAAATTTAGTGAAAATATTTGAGCGATTTTATAAATGATAGCATCTTTTGTTAACATTTTGAGACATTAGGACTGTTTCAATGGTTAGATGATTCTTCTGATTAATCATTTGTTCAGATAGTTAATAAATACTTAATAAATTTTGCAAGACAGCATTTTAATACAGTACATGGTTTGCTGTATACTACAGGTGGCCCAGTGGTGGAGATGCTTGGGGACGAGATGACCCGCATCATCTGGGACATTATCAAGCAGAAACTTATTCTCCCGTTTTTGGAGATTGAACTTCACACATATGATTTGGGGATTGAGAATCGTGATGCCACGAAAGACCAGGTCACGATTGACTGTGCTCATGCCATTAAGAAATACAATGTAGGCATCAAGTGTGCAACAATTACGCCTGATGAAAAGAGGGTGGAAGGTATTGTTATACTGTGCTTATGTTACTAACAAAAGATGGTCTATATATATTTTTAATTATATGCCCCTCTCTTGTCTAAAAACAAAAGATATGTACAGTACAGTGTGTGTGTGTATGTATGTATGTGTGTGTGTGTGTGTGTATATATAATATATTACATACAGTATTTGCTAATTGTTTGATATGAATACCTAGAGCATTATTTTATCTGGTACTGTATTTCCTTATGTATTTACATATTTAAAAATAATCTCAATAGGGCCTAGCCTGACTGCAGTAAGAACATGTCCAGTGGCATTCTTACAATTGAATGATGGAAAGAACTATATAGACTTGTTGTGCTATAAATGGATGTTAAGTAAATTTCATGAAAGTTTGTTTAATAATTTTCTTGTAAATAAGCCTCAAACATGTAAGTTAGGTAATTTTGTGCAGATTTGTTATTTACATTTTTTACAGTACAGGTAATATACAATACAATTTGCAGTCTCCGTGGTGTAGTGGTAAGACACTCGCCTGGCGTTCCGCGAGCGCTATGTCATGGGTTCGTATCCTGGCCGGGGAGGATTTACTGGGCGCAATTCCTTAACTGTAGCCTCTGTTTAACGCAACAGTAAAATGTGTACTTGGATGAAAAAATGATTCTTCGCGGCAGGGGATCGTATTCCAGGGACCTGCCCGAAACGCTACGCGTACTAGTGGCTGTACAAGAATGTAACAACTCTTGTATATATCTCAAAAAAAAAAAAAAAAAAAAAAAAAAAAAAATACATTTATTCCTAATCATTTTCCAGAGTTTAATTTGAAAAAGATGTGGAAGTCTCCCAATGGTACTATACGTAACATCCTAGGTGGCACCGTGTTCAGAGAGGCTATCATATGTCAGAATATCCCCCGTCTTGTCCCAGGATGGCAGAAACCAATTGTCATTGGCCGTCATGCACATGCTGACCAGGTAAAAATAATTGTTGTACAGTATTACTGTTCTGATTATCATTGACTAGGGTAACCAAGCAACATTAGAAATAAACAGTATTATTAGTTTTAAAAAGTAAGGGTCGGTTAAAAATAATAATTCTCTATGTAAACGATCACATCCGGGAATCATGTAAGATAAGTTCTTCAGTGTCAAAAGTGAGATAAATTGCAAATTGATCAATGTTTTAAGTCATTAATCTCTAAGGTAAAATATGTTTAGCATTTCATACAACTTCTTTAGTTATTGTAATTACTGTATTATACAATTCATGTGAATTGTATTGCAATGCAATCAGACTTATCCATTGTACACTATATTACATATGGGCCTAGATTAGCTACTCTAAGTATAGTCTCTTCCTCTCTTTTTGTCAATCTAGCACTTTGTATTTTTTTATTTAGTTAATCATTACAGTTGATTGTGGCTTTTGTAAATGGTGACTCAAGAGGAAAGGAAATTTCATTTGTTGGTAATGTTTCACTTGTAAGGACTTCATTAAATGTAACAGATATACTTGGTTAGTATTTATAAAGGCCAAAAAGGGAAGGGTTAAGGTCAGGAAAATTTAAGTTCAGCAACGTTATATACTTGATGGATTGTTACAATTAATATTCGTTATTAATTAATGTAGCAATAGGGACAGCAGTGCTGAATTTACCTCGACTGTGATGGCTGTAGATTCTATACACTTGTCTTCTAATGTTTTATTCTTTGATGACCTTGAAAGTTGAAGTGGTGTCACACCTTGTTCCTTGTAAGACACAACAAGTGTTGTTGGTCTCTGACTGGAACCTGGAGAAATGTCTCATGAACTATGGGATGCTAAACTCATTATCAAAGAAGAAGAAGAAGAAGAAAAGTTTTAGGAGATAGTGAATGAAATCTGCAGTCATTGAACACAATGCACTTGAACAGAATGGAAAAATTTTGCGTTCCTGCCCTGTTACGGCCCTATTGGGTCCCAACTGGGTTCTTTTCTGATGTTATTTGAGTTTGGGTATCCGGCCCCAAGTTAGTAGTGGCTTTCAAGGGGTGTGTTCCGTAACGCAAGTAAATTAAAGGGGAAGGGATACAAATACACTGCTTTTGTATATATAATCACCACCACCATAAATAAATATATAAACTGTCACACGGGGGGTATAAATACACAATGTACAGAATCGTCTTCCTCTGAAGACACAGGATGCTCCACGGTGCTCACGATGAGTAGCCCTGGTTCTCTTCGTCTAAGCCCACGATGAATCCTCTGATTCTTTCGGCGAATCTACCCCGGCCACAGGCCAGCCAAATCACAGTCCCACTGGGTGCACCGTCGTGGAGGCCTTCAACCACAAATCCAGCCTGTAGCTGGCAGGTTCCGATCACCTCCGCTGTGTAGGCCACTCCACGATCGATACTAGGGTTGCGAGCCCTAGGCAGGAGCCTCGTGTGATTCCGCAGATCACTCTCCTCTCTCCGCACCACAGTGGGTAGTCTCATCAGCCAGCCCCCAGATAAGACGATTCCTGGTACTGCCACGTCACAGGCAGGCTAACACACTCAACAGTGTTCGTCCGGGGGTGACTCACAGCTTCTGCAGCAAACAGGTGGAGAGACCTTGGCTGCCTTGGGTAGACTGATCCACCGTCCGATACAGCAGTCCCAGGTCGACTCTGTAATCACACGTCATTAGTAATAGGGACACTCTAGGGCACCTCACTTACAGGCTTAGACACAAGCGTCCACCTATCCACTCCATAGATGGCGTTGCTGTCTAAGCGCCACCTCACCAGAGGTCAGCAGCGGCTATGTTATGAGCTGATTAAGACGGGAAACCAGCCCCTGTGGCCGGTATATCCCGCCCTCGCTAGATGGCGGGATATTTGGAGGGGGTTTCGGGAGCTGACTCACAGATGGCGTGGACGTCACTGCTCCGTGCTACGACCCTAGACTCGGGTCCGTAACATGCCCCTCTTGCTATCGTTGTGATTAGTGTGTTGTCGACACCTTGTTTTCTCTTCACCAAAATTTGAATTCTGAACTAACTTTTGAAGCAGTTTTCCATTTTTTGCAGTACAAGGCTATTGACTTTGTGGTGCCTGGTGCAGGAAAGTTAGAGATCAGCTGGACTCCTTCTGATGGAGGTGATGCAATTCGGGAAGTCATCAATGATTTTAAGGGTGCTGGAGTTGCCTTAGGAATGTTCAACACTGATGAATCAATCGTGTAAGGATAAAAATATTATTGAAATTGTTTTTAGTATTCATGTTTTTAAATTATTTTTGTTTTATCAATTCGTGCCGTATATCCATCACAATGTGAGATTGCTTATATGTACTGTACATGTAATGTTACTATAATGAAATATTGACACATAATTATCATTTGCAACAATTGAACATGGTTAATTATACAGTATAATCTATAAATTATGATGTACCTTTTGAATGTGACTATACATTTGCAGTGCATTTGCCCATGCATCAATGGTGTATGCTTTGGATCGCAAGTTGCCTTTATATATGTCGACCAAGAACACTATACTCAAGAAATACGACGGCCGCTTCAAGGATATTTTCCAAGAAGTATATGAAAAGTAAGTTCTTAAGGTTTCAAAAACAGTAATAGGGGCATGCTAATTAAATTTTCTAATAGGTGTCGTTTAGTTTCCTTTCAGGATGAATGTTATATTAAAAATTAATGCTCAAGTTGGTATTTTATTCAGTAAAAAGGAGAGAAGTTGACTAAGGGATTTCACAAACATAATACAATTTCATGTATGCCTTTCAGACTAGTGTGTGCAATTTGCTTTGCACAGAATTGATTGGAACAACACAACATAAGTTGAAAGTTGCCTGTAGTGAGCATGAGGTTGTGAAAAAAAAATTATGCTGCAATTCATTAGCATGATTTGGTAACATAATTAACTTGTCCATTCCAATATCCTTAGTATATTATTGTTCTAGCAAGAAAGTTCTGAAGTAAATATACACATTTTCTTTCCTTAGTGCATAGACTAAATGAAAACACCAGAGACTTTTGGGCCTTGATTTTAGTTCTCAGAGTCTAAAAGCATACATAGTTATTTACACACTTTGCAAGTTAAAGAGCAGTGCTCATGGCATGACAGAATTTCAAATACTGTATCCTGAATTGTCACTTGCCTGAAGTTGGTAATCTTCCTCAGTATTCATACAGCCCATGCTCCCAAAATGTAAGTGCTTAGTAACCATTTGGTCAAAAGTACCAATATGCAGTGATGGACCACCAGAAAGTTGACTTTTGTATCATTGAATTTGACCAAGTGGGGAAACTTGTTTTAATGACAACATAAATATAGAACCTAACCTACTTAACTTAGGCATGTATTAGTTATAGATCCTAGAGCTAATACATCTATCTTAGGTCTAATATAGTACATATATGTACTATAATAGGCCTAGGAAGTTTTGTTGGGATTTTAGCTTTATTTTCTCCGGACTCGCTAAAATTAAAAGTACAAATGTAAATTATTATTGGTGGTTAGTTGCTTTGACCAATTCACTATAAGTACTATAATTTCAGGAGGATGGGTTGATATATAGTAATGTGGTAGGAAGTTTTTCCAGTGAGTCAAATATTGGCTGTCTGGCTTCCTATCTTAAAATCAGGGCAAGAGCATAGTCAAGTACTGTATTCTACAGTTAACCCCCCTCCTACCCTCCATCATCCCCTATTGCTTTTAACTTTGTGCCTGTGGAATTGGAAAAAATATTAAAGAAAAAAAATGGTTAATGTGGTATGTAGAATAAGGCAGATTTCTCTTTCTAAAAAATTTTTTTTTTAAAGTTTCTCTCCACTTGTAGGTTCCAAATCAAATAGGATGAACCCACTTATCAGAAAGAAGGTTGTAGGGTTAGAAAAACTAAACCACACTCCAGAAGATGAGGAGATGACGACATTTTGGTCTATCCTGGACCATTATCAAGTCGTTTTGATCTGTCCTGGATCATTACTATATCAAGTCTTGCAGTCCAGAACAGACCGAAATGTCGTTGTCGTTGTCTCGTCTTCTGGTGTGTGGTTTAGTCTTCATTTCTTCAGCTATGTTACTGTGACTCATCATCTGCATTGTAGGGTTAATATAATTTTAAAGGATCTCTGCCTCCCCATGATGTCTTGTTAGTCCAGTAGTGCACCCAAGATACAGTACTTTACTGATATCAAAAGCAACACTCCCAATGAAATCTGATGTATACCAATTGTATTACAGTATATTTATAGCACACTTCTCTTCATGAGGGCTCTACCCCTGTATATATTAGTAGCTCTGAATTTTACTTTATCGTCTGATTTTGAGCTCTTTCATTGTTTTAGCCACTGAATACTCTCACTACCACTGCATAGATTTTTACTGTTGAACTCTTTATGCTGATTATTGCAATGAGGATATTTTATAGCAAATCTAGGGGCATATTATGTTTGAACTCCTGGAAGCATTTCCTTGTCCAGCACACGACAATGTGTCTGACTATGAGCGAGCTGATGCAGTTATCAAGAATGCCTCTGTAAACTTAGTTCCTTTAACCACTTAACTGCGCCAACCGAGTATTCTCGGTCGGCGGGAAACTGCGCCAACCAAGAAAACTTACTTGGATTTTTCGGTACCAATTCTAAGTGTGTACGAGGTTGGTTGTGTACGAAATGGACTTTTAGGACCTCCAGTGAGAAGCAACCATCTTGGAAAAAATTCCCAGAATGCCCTAGGGCTGCTGGCTGGGTTAGTACTGAATGAGCAACCATGGGTGGCACATGCGCCTCTGGCTCCCAAACACCTGTCCGACGTGGTGTTGAAAGATAATGCTCTGTCGGTGAAATTCAAACCTTATTGTTTGAAGAACATAAGGGTCATAATATTGGTGAAGCTAGGTGCAATAAGGACCTAACACAAAGGTCGGATGCAAGTGATACAGCACCTATGAGGAGGATACAGCGAGCGTATCCAGTTGTAGCTCTGAGCGTCACCCCTTGCAATCCTATGCCATCTCCAATTTATTTAGATGATTCATAGATGAATCGTTTTCTGCGTTCAGTGATGATGCATCTGATACAAGTAGCATAGATGAACAGTATTAGCGGCTTCCATGGTGGTGTTTTCCACAGATATTTTCAAGAATACCTGAATCTCTTCCTAACTGACGGACACTCTTTGAGGCTAGCTGAATCTCTTTCTGACTGACGGACACTCTTTGAGGTCACAGAAAAACAGTAACGTGTATCCTAATAACCCATGACAATATTGGAAATTGAGGATACCAGTGACCGTCGTGTACCACGGAATAACATTTACTTATGAGTGGGATACCTTTGTGTGTCATGGAGGTTCGCTTTTTCCCAAAGATATAGTCTTATAAAGTGCTCTTAATTTCATTTAATATTTAGTTTTAAAATGTTTGTTAGTCATATTCCTAAGATATTTATAATTTTAGGTTTTTATATTGTCATTTATAGTAATGTTTATTTTCAGTGGTCTTGCTATTATGGTGCCTGAGAAATTATCAAACCTATATTAATATTGTATATTAATATTTATATTAATCATTATTATAAATTCAAAAGAGAAGTGGAAGGTCTTAGTGTTAATATATTTAATTTAATTTCAGCGAATATAAAGGAAAGTATGAAGCTGCAGGAATTTGGTACGAACACAGACTCATTGATGACATGGTTGCGCAAGCTATGAAGAGTGAAGGAGGCTTTGTATGGGCTTGCAAGAATTATGATGGTGATGTTCAGTCAGACTCCGTAGCCCAAGGATTTGGTGAGCTGCCTTCGTTTGTTTTTGCAAATTAAAATCAAGTTAAGAAAATATAGTTTTTGATAGGTTTTAAAAGATGGATAAGTATGTTTGGATTTTTCTGTGTGCTGTTAAATACAGTAAATGTTAACCGTAACCTGACTCGTGGCTGAAATCATGAGGGAGGTCAAGGTTAAGAATGTTAGAGGGAGTGTAGGTCTACTATGATAAAGTACAACATATCCAAATAGATATTTGTAGATGATACAACTCTTAGTAGATTTAAATTATGTGGGCAATTATTTTATATTATACAGCTGGGCCTTATGAAGCAATGGGGTGCTGTTGGTGAGGACTGCTTGGTGTGGCAGTTCATGCTTATCCCTGTTGCTATATTGTGAATTATGTATGGAGGAATTAGGTGCTGCCTTGTATGGGCCAATGGGCCTTCTGCAGTTACCTTCATTCTTATGTTCTTACGAGTTCTTTTTTGTTTTTTATTATTTACTATTATCCGTGATTGTCTTTACTATTTTACTTTTTTTGGGGGGCTGATGTCTCCCCACCCCATCAAAGTTGGAAGCCAAGTAATGATACACAGTCATTACTGAATGACTGTGATATACATGCAGTAATGACTGCGTGTATATATTTTTTAAACATTCTAGTTGCATTTGAAGTTGCTTGATCTATCAGTGTTTTCCTCTTTTGAAGAGTGGTATCAAGGTAGGATCTTAATCAAAACTGAATACATACAAAATTATGGTGGCCATAGTTTTGTTAAAATTCAGGTGGTACTGAAAAATGTCCATTTAGACATTCAAGTAGTCTACTAATAAATTACTTTACCAATGCCAGTGGTCAATAGATCACTCACAAAAATTATGTAATAAATTCAGAATTACTTTTCAGGGAAAAGTGATATATATTCTGCTATATTTAGAAAAAATATTAATGCACTTTAGTAATAAAAAGTAATATATGTATATATATACAGTATATATATAAAATTTATGTATATATGTATATATATAATATATATTCTCAATTTTAAATTGGAATACTGTATAAACAAATATTTAGTCAATTTGACGTAGTAAATTTGTGTTAAAAATAACTCCAAAAATAATGTACTGGGAGTGATCAGAGTTGCTGACAATGGTGATGGGAGTGTACAGACACTACCACCTAATGCAACCAGAGGGTTAATTTACACTAAACAGAAATGCAAGAAAAGATAGTTTTCTATCTTTTGTACACAGCAATGGAAATACATGGGAATATGTATACAACACTTGGCACAACCTATGTATGTGTTCAGTTGTCCTTCTGAAAATCACTTGGCCACAGGGACTTGTTTGTATAAAATATCTGCAATGAAACACTAGTATACACTGGAAATATCAGTGGGAAAAAAATTAAGACATGCTAACTGGCAAAGCATTGCACTCAATAAATGAAGACAACACTTAGAAGTGGTGGTTGAACTTGGTACTGATTCATCTCAATATTGCATGTACTAGTATGTTCTTATGTGTTCAAGCTGTCAGACTTGAACACTTATGTATTGGCACTAGTTTATTAACAGTAATGACCTAACCCATGTACATGCTTCATATAGGAACATAGTTCCTCAACTACACACATAGCACCCTTGTGTGTCGGAGCTCATCACCTAGATGAACAAAGTAGCGTGTGTGTGTGTGTGTGCGTGCAGGTGTTGTAGACACTACTAAAGCCATGGTAACAGCATCAATAGCAGGCAAGGAAAGGAAACTATCAGGAGAAAGTTCCAAGCCATCACAACTATATAGCACTTGGAAGGGGTCAGGTTAAGGATTTGAGATGGGATGGGGGGAAGGAACAGTGCCCAACCACTTGGATGGTCGGGGACTGAGCGCCGATCTGCATGGAACAAGACCATCGCTCTACCGTCCAGCCCAAGTGGTTAAGAAGTAGCAACAGTAATTAGTGAAAGTATGAAATAATTAGAAATTTTGAGGAGGGAAGCACATGGTGACATCAACATTCACTGCTGAATTCAACAGAGCCACTGACTTACCACAGCTTAGTTTTTCTTGAATGATGAAAGTGGATAGCAGTGGTGTTATCCTGATGGTAGGAAGCATTTATATTGCTAATGTACCATAATGACAAAAGTTGTCTTGTCCAAAACAAGACTTTTAGATGTGTGTATTTTCTGAAACAAAGCAGGAAAGTGTGTGCTTTTCTTCTGTTACATTTGTGAGATTTAAAAACAATTAAAATTGGGTTTATTTTATACCAATTGCATTCCCTAACTTACAAAACGTACAGTATACAGTATATATGAAATGATATATAACTAAACATGTATAATAGTGTGTGTTCAGGGAGTCACTAGCAATGTAGTGTAAGGAAAGGAAAGTCCTGAAAACTACAGATAGTGTAAGGAATGAAAGTGATTTAGTAATGCAGTGCAAGTGAAAAAAAAGTCACAAACAATAAGTATGCATTTTCTGTTAGGCTCTCTGGGGATGATGACGTCTGTTCTGGTGTGCCCCGATGGCAAGACAATAGAGTCCGAGGCAGCTCACGGCACAGTCACCCGGCACTACCGTCAGCACCAGCAGGGCAATGAGACGTCTACCAATCCCATTGGTAAGTTGTTGTTACTTTGATCTTTGGATTTTTATAGTCAGAAGTTTTCTATTTAAGAGATTCAATCAATTTTATTGAACAAATTTTGATTGATGCCTTGTTTATGAAAAGTATATGAGTGTTTTATTCATAAATCAAAAAAAGAACTGATGCTTCACAGGGATGTGTTTACCTCCTCATACTAAGCCAAACCTTTGTAATGTTTCAATAAAGATCTTGTAGAAAAAATAGAAGGTGTTCCAAGACAAAAACTTTTACTAAATATTAAACTAAAATTCTGTGTACCATATAGCAATTGTATGGTTTATTGATACAATATAATACACACCAAATAAATGCAGTGCTTCTTTGTATTGTATTTTGATTTATTAACATGATACAATACTCAGCAACACATTTATGCTGTTGTGAAAAAATGTCAGTTCTTACGAGTTTTGTCAGGAATACAATTTAGGAAAAAAATGAATGTTTTTTGTTAGAACTTTAAAATTCAGTATACAGTATATATATGTAATGAAGGCAATTTATAAAAGTTAAAAACGTAGCTCTTGGTACAGTACTGCGAACATAAAGTAAACGGAAACATAAAGCTGAGTGTTGACTAATAAACTGGAAAAATAATTTAATATCTTACACCATTTGGAAGTGGAGGCTATAGAATGCTATATATTTATGGCATTCTATTAAACAAATGATAAATAATTCAAATTCAAAGTTCACTAACAATTTTTATATCTTCCAGTCGTGATCATTCGGCATTGTATGTGTCATATTGAATTATTTAAAGGTGTATGAACTTTTGAATATGTTCTTTAGATACACACTAATTTAAGACTGGTCTTTGTTATAATGGACTCTACTAACTTCTTGACAACTTTTGGGCCTATTAGACTTTTGGGTATTGTGCTGGTATCACTGGAAAAGCAAAAATATTTCACTTATGCAGTAGTCCCATTTTCTTACATTAAGTAGGTTTTGCTGGGATCCAGGTCTGAAATTAAGGATGACTATGCATACTTTTATTAACACTTTCAGCCTCCCGGCGAAGGTAAAAAAAAACAACCGTATGTGCTCCTGGCGTTTTGCCGCGTAAGCGTAAAAACAAAAATGTGTATACTCTTTTTACTCTCCTGACCTTAGTTCTCGAGCTACGTATTTCATTTTGCTACCAACGTGTTCGCAATAAAATTCTCTAGAAGAACATTAGTAAAAAAAGTCACGAAACGTATAGGGATACCAGCACCAAATAAATAACTACGAAAATGACTCGCCGTGAGCGCCCAACAGCAACAAAATGTTTTTACTCTTGGGATTGTTATCACCTCCACACTTGTCCTACAGCGTTAATTTTGGTATCAATGGACTTGCAATGAAATTCCCAACACGGTGATATGAATACTGTATAGGCATAGAATAATGATTGCGGCCCGCCCGCAAGAGTGTGGGAAGTGGTGAAATTGTTACCCGGTATCGGTGACGGGACGACGCACGGCGCTTTGAAAGTTTATACTTATTTCACTCTCATGACATTATTATTCTTTGTACGTCATTCATTTTTGTGTCAATGTGTTCGCAATAGAATGTTCTATGAGCCCGTAGGTAAAAAAGATCAACAAAGCGTAAGATAGAATAGCGCCAAATATAAAACAACGTTGGAACATATCAGCGAGTCAAACACACACGAAATGTTTTTACTTTTGTTATGTTTGTGAACCTTTCATGAACTTATTGTACCATGCAGCCTATTGGTGAGAAAGAGAGCCTCATGGCGCGCAGTTTGAAACAAACCCAAAGTAAATCGGATAAAAGTTGAATTTTATACAAATATTTTAAAAGAGGACATAACTTTATGTCCACCTAGCGGGAGCGGGTAGGCGAAACAGGACGCCGGGAGGAGTCCTCATCCGCAGAAAGTGTTAATAGGAATATAATTGACGTCTACACTTCTCAAGGGTTGAATAGTGCAACATACTTTAGGAGGGTTTTCATTTATTTAGATTGTTTAGCTAAGTGCAGTACACATTTTTGTGAACTCCAAATTTTGAATATTTACCTAGGTCATTCTAACTTCATAAAGAACTAACATGTATTCTTGTTCATGACTTAATTTGTAATCCATATATATGTTGCTATTCTCAACAGCTTCAGTCTTTGCTTGGACTCGTGGTTTGGCTCACCGTGCTAAGCTTGACAATAATGAAAACTTGGCTAGATTTGCCTCATCTCTGGAGGAAGTGTGTGTGGAGACAATTGAATCAGGGTCCATGACTAAGGATTTGGCTATCTGCATTAAGGGCATGACTAAGTAAGTATTATGTATATTTGAAAATAATTACCTGTTGATGAATGTCAGAGTTCTACTCCCACAGCCTTACATGTGGCCAGCCTTTTGTGATAATTGTCAGGTATTGGATGTATGTAGCAAAGATAGAGAGCAGTTACTGTTGCACAAAGGTAGCAAACTTGCCAAATACTTTGTGAGCAATTTCATTTGGGTTTGAGTTGTAGCCAGCAAGGCTTGACTGGGCACCAATCTTAAATAATGTTTCACTTTATCCTTCCTTCACTTGTATATTTCTTATAATGCAACTTCTAATCATAAAATTACTTGGTCAAATTTCATCAAGAAACCAGGCAATACAAATGTGATAAAAAGGAGGGCAAAATTACGAATTTGCCTATGCTAGTCTGAGGGTTCATGTGTTCTAGATGACTTAAAAGATAAAAATGTCTTGGTGTTGGCTGGCTCCTGAGTTTCTAAGCGTTAGGCCAGGATCTGTAGAATGCTAGGGGAGGAGTGCTAATCCCAAATTTACCTTGCTATCATGTCTCCATTACTCTTTGTTTGGAAATGGATGTAGGCCTGTTGCATGGCACTCCTTACTCCTCACTGGAAAGTGGTTGTAGTGTCTCGACTTAAAGGTACACTACACCCTAATTCAAGTCCAACATATTTCTAAAATTTCCTATTCCTTCGTTTAACTCAGTATTTCAGAGATTTTTATCCCTTCATTAAAGACTCAGCAATGCACTTGAATTTCAGAACATTGCAATTTGATACTGTGGAATGTCTATTGGGCCATGCAAAACAGTTACTGTTTATGCTTGACAACACCCCACACATTTGTCCATCTTGCACTTGAAACAATCCAGAAATCCAACTTATGTTTGGCGAGGTTCTCTTCATCTGGTCGGCAGTGGCCAGCTATCTCTGCTCTGCCTGAAAAAACTATTTGACTCGAATTGTTTCACATAGCAAAACTAGAAATACCAGAAACTCTTCAAATATACTCCAATATGATGTTGAATCATAAACGTATTCATTGTGCAATGTAGCAAAAATTTAACCAGTTGGTTTTCTGTCTTGTGGGCATACTTCTTACAAAAATAATGAAAGAATTGCGTTGTCAAATTTATGGATTTATATTGCCGAGTATTTTATTCGCTTTGGTATTCAGGCACCTGTATGGTTCTTAACCCTTGCACTGCGCCAGCTGTCATATTAAGGGGTGTGCCAGCCGACATGTGATTTTTAGTACAGCGGCACCTTCATTTCCGAATTTAATCCGTTCCAAGAGACGGTTCGTACACCAAAAATTTATAAACCAAAACAAATTTTCTCATAAGAAATAATGTAAATTTAATTAAATCCGTTCCACATCCAAAAATATTAACTTAAAAGGTGCGCAGTGCAGGGGTTAAATTGAAGAATGATACAAGACACCTAGAAATGGTGACATCAGTCTAGTACAAGAACATCAAGATCAGTTAGAAATTTTAAAAGATATGACAAAGCTAAAAGAAACAATGATGTATGTATGGGCAGGCAAAGATAAATCATAAATTGTTTTTTCTTCAAACGTATCGAGCAAATATTAAGAAGACTGGGCAATTGAAAATTGTTATCCTCAGATGTTTCACTGATTGTTTATCACTTGTTTCTATTTAATTACAAGTGTGTGTGTTGAGTAACTTGATAAATTGCAAAATTCACATGATAATGTTTCAATTGATTGGTTTACCCGGTATGCCTCATTACAATCATATAGAATAGTGAAAAGCATATAAACATAAACAATGGTGTTGGGCTCTGGGCCATGACACATGGCCTAATTGACACCATATGGGTGAGAGTAGAGATTGAAACAAAGGCACAAGTCACCAATGAGTCACCCACAGATGATGGCAGACTCATAGTACACGTAACGTATGATAATGATTAAGTTGATTGTTTTGCTTGGTATGCCTCATTACAACCTTACGAAGTTGTGAAAACCACATGAACGCTATTGATAAACATATGTAATTATGATGGAATTTTATACAGATACAGTGGAGCCTCGATTTACGATGGTAATCCGTTCCCAAAGACGTATTGTAAGTTAAAATATTGCAAGTCGAAATGATTTTTCCCATAAGAAATAAAGAGAATTGAATTAATCTGTTCCACACCCCCAAAAATATTAAATTAAAAATACATTTTATACTGAATACAATTTTTTCTCTAACTACAAAACAGTACATATGTTTATCTTATCTTTATGGAAGACTCTTGATGGCATATGGAAGATGGTGAAGAGGGGGGAGGAGGAGAGGTTTTACTGTTTGGAAGAGGAGTCTCCTTCCATAATAACATCAGGCAATGATGACTTCCCTGGGGTACACACACTCCTACATTTTGCCTGCATACCACTAGGACCTTGTTGTGATTCACTGCTTGTCTTACTAAAAACCTTTCCATAGATTTTTGTTTTTCCATACGTTTTAATTTTTGTCTGTAGTGAGGCATCACAATGTCATTTAAAAGGTTAAGGCAACAGCCTACTGCACCGTGATTTGGGCGAGTTGTTTCAGCAAAAGTCTGCCATTCTTTCCATGCTGCACACATTTTCTTAATTAATGAGGAAGGGGCATTCTGTACTGTCTCCTCCTCCCCTGAAGAAATTTCCTCAGCTGTCTCTTGTTGCTGCTCCTTGTGAAGTTCTTTGGTGGTCAGTTCTTCAGTGGTGAGTTCTTCATTGTGTTCCTCCACCATCTCGTAACACAAAACACTCACAACACTATGAATGCCACTTCTTTTTCTAAATTTCTCAAACCATTCCCTGCTCGCCTTAAACTCTTTCGAATCTGCATCACTCGTTCCAGGGGTTTTCTTTAAAAGGTCTTTATGCAGTTTCCTTGCTTTCTCACAAGTGATGGCCTCTGTAATGCTATCTGGGGAGCCGGTCTGCCGAGCGGACAGCACGCTGGACTTGTGATCCTGTGGTCCTGGGGTCGATCCCAGGCGCCAGCGAGAAACAATGGGCAGAGTTTCTTTCACCCTATGCCCCTGTTACCTAGCAGTAAATAGGTACCTGGGTGTTAGTCAGCTGTCACGGGCTGCTTCCTGGGGGGTGGAGGCCTGGTCGAGGACCGGGCCGCGGGGACACTAAAAAAAAAGCCCCGAAATCATCTCCAGATAACCTCAAGATAACCACCTGCTAACTCCTTACTGTGTATCCAAATTAATAATAACTGTTCAACATCCTCAAGTGTTTGTGTTCTATGTTTCGTGATTATTGATACGCCTTTTGCCACTTTAGCACTCATAATGTCCTTTTTCTTGGCAAGTATAGTGGATATCGTTGACTGAGATTTGTTGTACTGCCTAACTAGTTCAACAACCCTCACACCATCTTCATATTTATGAATGATCTCTTGTTTTTGCTCTATGGTCATCCTTACATGTGTTTTCATATGTTGAACCTTACCACTAACTTTCTTGGGACCCATGGCATGATATATGATAATCAGTTTTATGTTCAAAAAGCAAAAAATCACCAAAAAAATAGAATTACTTATAAGCGTGATCATCACTAAGTAGGCGGCTCTAGCAAACTGAGGCAGGTCGGCCCGCACGACCAGGACCCATGCGCTCTGTCGAACTGAATGTGTATCAACTAATATCTTTAGTCGACGACACTATCATAATTATCATCATTTGATAATGTATCAAATGATGATAATTTTTCCTACAAATACTTGTTGTAGGAAAATTGATAGAATCGATCACAAATGGCATTCATTTACATCTTGAAAAACAGATTAATAAGGGATTCACAACATCGTTTCACTTTGGGTCACTCGTGGTTAACAAATTTACTGTCATTTTGTTTGTGTATTTTTCAAGCACTGGTATTGGGTTATGCTTAGTTTGATTAGGGCTAGGTTATTTAAAATAAAGCCAAGTGTTAGCATAAATGGAATCAGTCCAAGTTGGAGAGCACTGTAAGTGCAGTGATATAAGGATTTGTTCGGGGACTTTTATTGCTAACAGAATAAGAGGACAAAGTTAATCCAGGAATTGGAAACATTTCCTTATGAAGAGATACAAAATATAAATTTACTTTCACTAGAAAAATGAAGAGTAAGGGGTGACAGTTGAAGTACAGTATACAAAGGATTAAAGGGTATAACAAAGGGTATAGAAATAAGTTTTTAAATACTGTATATCAGTACAAAATAGAACTTATTTATTTATTTATAAAAAATATATATACAAGAGTTGTTACATCTCTAAAGTTTTGGGCAGGTCCTTAATCTTAATTTTCCCTGGAATACGACCCGCCAAATCATTTAACAACCAGGTACCCATTTCATGTAGCCGGTGTTCAATGCTGGGTGAACAGCGGCTACAGTTAAGGATTGGCACCCAGTCAATCCTCCCCGGCCAGGATACGAACTCAGGCCAAAGTATTCGCGAAGTGCCGTGTGCTGGTTGGGTATAGCATAGATCTTAGTATATAATAATAATAATAATAAATAATAATAATTTTATTTAGGAAAAATACATACATAGATGCAGAGTTACAGTACAAACATTGTTTGATTTATAGATAGAGGTAGTACATACAGTACCTAAAGCCACTAGTACGCATAGCGTTTCGGGCAAGGTGAGGTGGGGAAAAAAACCTACTTAGCCTAAAACTAAAACTTAAGTATGTGTAAACAGTGATAAAATTAGATTACAAATTGGTGATTTGACAACCTAGACGTAATTCTGGCCACCTGCAAATGTTAGTTTATAAGTCAATAAGTATTGCATGTTCATATAAGATGATTTTATTATTTTATAGGTAAACCTCTTCTGTTAAAATATATATCATGGGTTTTTCCTAAGTGTACAGTATTTGTCTTTTTAAATTAAATTTGAACACAATTAGCATAAGTACAGAGACAGTAATCACACTGTACATTAACATAAGTAGCTGAATAGTGTCAACTTTAAACAATTACTGTACTTGGCAACCTGTCCCATAAATCTATAACCCTATTTCCTAACCTGGATTTTTTAAAAATTTCTGAATGTCTGAATATTTTTAAATATTAGACATTTAAATGAATTTAAATTAGATATTTAAAAATTAAATATCTAATTTAAAAAAAAGTTGTGTTGATAGTTTATCACCTTATTAGGGTAATATTCCTCACCATCATTCCCATTGCATACTTCACTAATGTTACATTATTCTTTCTTGAGAATGATGGTGCTACATAGCCTTCCCGGTTTGGTGCCTTCTTTTGATAATTACCTTGCCTTTCTTGAGAACGTAAATTAAGCTTTCTTCACAGCTCTTCATAAATGAGGCTCTTTATGCCCAGGATTAACTTTAATTTTTATTTGCATTGCTAGGGAATTGTATTTCTATCTGTAGTATGATGCCCAAGATCTAACTGTATAATTTAAATTGAGCCTCGGAACAATATAATGCTAAATGATGACATTTGATATTTTATTACTAATACGTCTAGATGGGAATCCTAGTATTTCTGTTGCCATATTTGAACATTTACACATTGATTTCTTGAGATTCTACTAATCATGGCTCATGTCTTCTTTGTATTCAGATTTATCAATTTCAAGTTTCAATTGGTAACTGGTAACTCTTATCATTTCTTAGACTAAGATCCCTCTGTCAGCATCTGGCATCTTGCTGAGCTGTACTCTTGTATAGCCTTCCTGGCTTAGTGCTTTCTTGTGGTAATTATTGTGATGCAACAATTTGGCTCTTGCCCAGTAAAGGATGTAACAAGGGTGCTACTTCACTGCTTCCTAGTTTGCTAACTGTACAGATCTTATTTGCACCATCACTCCCCCCCAACAGACACACACACACACACACAAATAGGTGAGTACATTGTATGTGTAGGGTGATGAGGCAGTGCCAAATACAGCACTGTATTCCCTTTTATTGTAGATAAAGCCTCCAGGCTGCTTCATTCCTCAGTTTAAATTTCTCTTGTTCCACAGCGTTACACGTGATGACTACCTCACAACATTCGAGTTCATGGACAAGCTTGCAGAAAACTTGGAAAAAAAGATGTCTACCTGACTTAGCATTCCTCGTATGAAGCCACTAGCAAAGCTCTAGCACATCATTCCCCGAACTTACTTGGACCTACAAACCAAAGGATATTTGAACTACTGTACTATATTTCACATTTATTATTTGTACTCTGCTAGTTTACATGTATAAATATCTAAAGCTTCAGTCCTCAGGTGGCACTTTTGAAGTTGTGGAATCTTAATTTAGTACAGTTTAATTGCCATTTTTACCAGATCCAGATTATTTGCCATTTTAAATTTTATTTTCTGTCCAGAAATTCAGGTTAATTTAAATATTATTAGGCTTCTGCCATTTATACTTTACATTTTTCTTGCCAAAAAAACTTGATCTAATTTGTGCTAAATAGACAAGTATAGCAAGGCATAATTTCTTAGATTATCTTTTTAGATTTTTGTAAGGCAATATGTTTTGTAGTGTCAACTTTTTTCAAAATATTTAGTGTACATGAATTTCCTGTTTTGGGACCAAAAATAAAATTAATTTAATTTTTTAATTTTTTATCCTGTGCATGAATATGTTCATCAGATTTCAATGTGGTAGTGAACTGGTTAACCTCAGCTGGCCATGGAAGCTCAAACTTTGGGGCAACACACACACACAGTTTCGCTTCTCCCATAATTTTTTTTACTAGCAGATACAGGAACACAATTCTTCAGATTCTTGTTTGTAGTCCAATTGCTCTCCTTTGTATAGCTCATCAGAAGCCTTACCATAGAAGTAGTCTCCAGTTTATGAAAGGAATGTATTCCAAAAATGAATTCATAACCTGGCCATAACTTTGAATCAAATTTTTTCCATATGCATATTTGCTTAACAATAAGGGTCCCCAATTATTGTTAGGTAAACATAAGCAAATATTCGAAACTTGGAAACCAGCCCAATCCTGGCCAGAAATCGGAGCCAGGTCATTCTCACTTGCGAGACAAGCTGATAAAACTGTAACCACTACATGGAATAAAACTTTGACAAATCACTGAAGCAGCATTTTTGGTTTGCTAAGCATTTACACTTCCTACGTGCAATATGTGTCCCATAGTACAGTCCTATGCTGTATAGTAGATGCATTCCAGTAACAAGGGAACATGTCATAATTTAAGTCATAACTGTTACAAACATAAGAATAAAGGAAATTAAAGATGGCCTTTTGGTCTGTACAAAGCAGCTTCTATTTATATCCACCCAAAGTTGTTCATATATATATTTAATAATAATGATTATAATATGTCTAACATTCACTTGAAACAACCCAGCGATCCCTCTTCAGTTATGTTTCTGGGTAATTTGTGACAAATCAACAATCCTATTTCCAGGCTAGTATTTATCCAGGTCTTTATGGAATAGAAACATATCCAGTTTGTTTACAATCTTTCATGCTGTGATTAAACTAGTAGTCTTTCTCTGTACAGTACCTTTTAAAGTGAATAATATAGTATGGCAACCGAAACAACTGCATGATCAACTAGGGACAAACAAGGGCAAGATAAAGTTGAAGATTAACATTAGATGTCTTATTGGTAATATGTCTAGAAATAAATTCCAGTACTGTGTTTCATTGGCTTTATTCTGTACATATATGCATTGATTTTTTTTTTTGCCTTAAGATTCCTGTTTAATCTTGACTGAAATTTTATTTGATTCTTTACCATTTCAACATTTTCCAACTGATATCTCGTAACTCAATTCTGGCTATTTTCAAAGGTTTGTTTATATTCCATTGGTTTAGTACTTGCAAAAATTCTTATCCCATAAGTGCCTGTGAGGCTGCAGTATAATGCTTACCTCACATCTTGAGAAATTTTGGCCGGGTTTCAGCCCTAGACAGCGAGAGTTGACAGCAACTATCCTTCGCTGTTTTTCAGTGTTATAAAACACTGTTTTGAATGCATTTTTGTGGCCAAAAAAGTAGTTTGTATACCTTGCTAATTTCATCTTAGTTAAGTTTACTTAATTGAAATAATACATGGGATTTAATTATATTCATTCTTATGCTATCTGTCCTCAAGTCCTACACAGTCTTCCCAGCTTAATGCCTTCTTTCGGTAATTACTGATCTTACTGTTGTCAAGTGGTATACTGTCCTGTGCTGGTTTATATAATTGTTGGGTACAGGAAACCTGTTAAGTGTTTTTAAAGGTCCTAGGTAAAAGAGAGACTGTGCAGTCACCCTTTCAGTTACTAATAAGACCTAATATGGCACTTAACCTGATTGACCAAATGTACGTGGGTTAATTTATGATCTTAGTAAAGGTATGATAAAGTTAATATAGAAATAGTGATAAACATGTTTGGAGCTTGCAGAGATGTGAAATATCTTAGAGGAAGTAGTGTATATACAAGAATTAATGGTGTAATGAAATATTGGTTTGATATGAATGTAGGTGTATACAAGGTATGCGTCATGTCACCTTCGTCCATTATTTGTGTGGATGTGGTTAAGGTTTGATTCCTAGGTGGGGCAGAAATGATTGGGCATGTGTCCTTTTGTCTAATGCTCTGTTCACCTAGCATTAAATAGCTGAGAATTACGGAAATGTAGTGTTGCATCCTGGGGATGGTCTGTAGTTTGACCTTGGGAGGTACCTTGGTATAAGCATAAAGTGTAATTACCCAAGTGTATTACAGGATGAGAGCTATGCTTATGGTGTCCCATCTTCCCAGTACTCTGTCATATGACACTTTAAAACTACAGTACTCACGGTTATGGCCTCCATGCCCTCTCACTTAACTTGTTCCAACTGTCTACCACTCTGCAAATGAGAGGACTTTCTAATATTTGTTGGCACCTTTATTTCCTTAGTTTGTAGATACAAACTTCCTAATGACTAAATAATGACATCTTGTTTTTGAAGATGCAGGTTTCAAGATTTTCTCTTTGCCAGTTTTGTTGGTTCTTGTTACTATTTTGTGATGTGATGATCATCAAAGTCAATGAACATCACTCGGGTGTTATTAATTTTTTGTGCGAGTGGGTTAGGAAATGGCTGATGAGTCCAGTCTGAAACCAGAATTTTCGGTTGCAGTTGGGACATGGAAGTGTGGGTTTCTGACAAGGGGAGCCACCAGCCCAGGACTTGCAATAAGACTCTTTCTCTGCAGCATCATTGTCTTGTTTGTAAAGCTACTGCACCAGCATGAACTTGTCTGTTCCAGACTGAGCAATCTTCAGCAATGCTCTCCTAGCTTTCAGAGTTTGCCACAATTCTTTTGGAAAGCCTCGAGGGTTAGAGATTAATTTAAATATCTTCTTTTGCCCTCCAAGAGAATGTTTTCCCCGTTTTAGTTCACCATAGAACTTCATCTTGGGCAGTCATTCATCGGGTATGCATACATGGCCAGCCCATCTGAGCTGTTCCTTGCAAGGTATAGTGTGGATGCTTGTCATCCCAGCCTGTGCAAGAATATCTGTATTTGACACTTTGACCTGCCATCTCGCCCAAAGCCACTTCTGCAGGCAGCTCAGATAAAAATGGTATGGAATGGAAATGGCAAACTATAGGCGATACAGGTCTCACAAGCATAAGGGAGGGTGGACAGATCGACTGCTTTATCTTGAGTAGACTTGCTGAGTAGACTTCCAGGTCAAATGCAATCAAATACGTGTTGTGATATTAAAGAAAATGAAGTAAGGAATGAAAATGTCTGAGAGATGTGGGGTACAATAAGCAATAACTCAACAGATTTTGGAGTGTTTGAAAATGGTTGCGACATGTTTAACAAATGGATGATGGTGGATTGGTAGAGAAGGTGAGTTAAACTGTAGAAGGAAGGAGGACAGTTGAGTTTTATGGGTGAAGCAGGAATCTAGTGTGAACAACAAGTATGCTGTAATAAGTCGGAGTCAGCTTGTAAGAAGAGTTTGAACGTATTTTATATGCTGTACTAGGGAGGGGGAGTGGGTGGAGGGTTACCAGGCTGAACCCTAGTCTCTCCTCCATTCCCGTCTCCCACCTCTCATCTCTTCCCATCCCCACTTCTTTTCATATTTCCTCACTCCACCTTTCTCCCCCAACATATGTCCCTGCTCTCTCTCAGATCCCTCGCCCCTTTCTACCCTTTCTCCCAATCTCCCCCCCCCCCCTATCACTTCTCCCCTTTCTTCCCTCTCCACCTGACTCCTCCCTCTCTTCAGATATCCCGTCTTCTTCTCCCTCTTCAAACATCCATATGAACATAAGAATGACGGTAACTGCATAAGGCCTATTGGCCCACACGATACAGCTCCTATTTATATCCATCCAATCTCATTCATATATATATGTCTAACCTATGCTTGAAAGAATCGAGGGATTCTACTTTTATTATATTACGCGGTAATTGGTTCCACAAATCAACAACCCTGTTACTGAACCAGTATTTACCTAGGTTTTTCCTAAATCTAAACTTGTCCAATTTACACCCATTGTTTCGTGTTGTCTTGAATTTCATTCTCCCCTTCTCCTTCCCTCTCTCCCTATGTCTGTTTCTTCTTCTGTCTCAGTTATCTTTTTTTTTTCTTTTTACCCTGGTCGACCCGGTTTTTCTGCAGGTCTATATCTGTCTCTGTATGTCTGTCTCTCGCTGTCTTTATGCTGACTATCTCTATCTTTCTCTTATACAAATAATATAATAGCGTCCCAATGCCTGGATCAAACCACCTGGTTAGTTATCCAGGTATTTGTGATGGTCTGAAATTATATTAGTTCCAATAATATTGTATTTGTAAACTGGGAAATAAACCTTTTTCTTAAACCAGGTATTCTCAAGTTATAACTTTATTGTAATATAAATCATTGGTTTAAAATGTAAAATTTATATGCTGAGCTCCTTTTCTTTGAAACGGTTTGAAGAATTTGGCTTTCTGTAAATTAAATTCTTAGGGATACTTAACCCAGCCTAACCATGGATAGAGAATAGATAATAGCACTAGTTACATAGTGGTTTTGAAGTCATTACAATCTGGAAATCTCCTGTATATGCAGGCGATGAGTCACAATAACGTGGCTAAAGTATGTTGACCAGACCACACACTAGAAGGTGAAGGGACGACGATGATTCGGTCCGTCCTGGACCATTCTCAAGTCGATTGTGATGACAATCGACTTGAGAATGGTCCAGGACGGACCGAAATGTCGTCGTCCCTTCACCTTCTAGTGTGTGGTCTGGTCAACAATCTCCTGTATATCCTCTAATTCGAGGTTAAGTAGGTGGCTATTTCCAAAAAGGACAGTCGTTATCTATGTATTATCACACGTAGGAGAGCCCCAAGACTCCTCACAGTCCTGTAGTAATTTATCTTAATACATCTACCCCTTTTAGATTATTTGTTCTTATTTTATTATTTTTCTCTAAATATACGTCTCAGTTTATTATTTTCTTCGTGACGGTTAGGGGGTGGCAATCACAATACACCAGAGGGTTCATTTTTTAATGATGTGGGACATGTACAGAAATATTAAAGCAAGAGGTGTAGGTGAGCAGGCCCAGCCTGCTTCTAAAGGGTGCCAGCCTGCGTCTCAAGGGTGCCAGCCTGCGCCTGCAGGGTGCCTGCCTGCGCCTGCAGGGTGCCTGCACGTGTGCGCAGGTTCACTGTCTGCCCAGCAGAGGAGTGACACAATATATATTGCACACAAAATAATATCACCAGTGAACCTGCGGTGTTTAACAATGCTGGATATTCCGAGTTAAAAAGTTTCATTGATTTATTTTTCCACATTAGAACACGAGGAGTTTATCGTGTACCGCCACGTGGAACAAACAGGAAAGCTACACATGTAGAACACAAAGGAACAACTCAACCTAACTTCTACAAAACACATTAATTAAACAGTTTATTGTATAAACTTTAATAAATCATTTAAACACATATTAATATATTGGATGACTAACAACACGGGCACCAGCAACACACACTCAACTGTTCTACAAGCTTCAACAAACTCTCCTCTTACAAATTACGTCTGAATTTAGCCGGTTGCCCGTATGGCCGAAAACTGACGTAATTTGAAAATGAAAAAATTTAAATGAATTTTGGATTTTTTTTTCAAAACAATAAGTTAAAGGTCCTCTGGTAGGTTAGGAGGGTAGGAAATTCTCCTAAAGTTTCAAAATGTAGTGAAAAACGTTAATTGAAATTGTCCTCTCTTAACCTAACAGACGAAGCTGGGAGGACCCAAACAGAAAACGAGACAAAATGGACAGTTTCATTTGAAATGAAACCGATTTCATTTCACATAATGTCAGTTTTTGGCCATAGCGCGCATACGAGTGAAAAGCGACGTTATTCTGAGAGGACGGGTTGGTCGGTCGGCTCCGGAATCTTGCCAAAATCAGCGTTGGAAATGTCGTAGAGAGACTCGGCTTGGTCGCAGGGCGAAGCCTCCTCCAAGTGGGCGCAGGTGAGGGACTCCTGGCTAAACACGGTCTGGTTGCCGCAGATGAAGGAGAAATGATCTTGCCGGAGAATCTGAAAATTAACAGGATTACTTTTTGTCCAACCCTGAATCCGTGTAATTTTATATTTAGGGATGGATAACTTTCAGTTATTATGTACTGCCATAAGGTAATCATCAAATCTATTTAAGTTCTTTAAGTATGAGGATTGAGAAGACCTACCCCGCCAGTAAGTTCATCCAGTTCAGGATGGCAGATGTGGAAGATCCTGCAGTCGTTGGCCACATCAGCGTAGTAGCCATAGGGACGATTCTCACAGGAGAAGACTTGCTTGGGGTCACCGCCCAGGATCTCCAGGAACCCATCTGGGAGCTGGTAGGCCATGCGGGCGGCGACGACGGAGGCCACAGCGAAGAGGATTACGGTCTTCATGCTGGCAGAGAGGAGAGTCATGGCTGAGGAGAGGCTATGTATCATGGATGAAATCTGAGAGGGAGATGATCTGATGAACCATGAGATCAAATTCATGAGAATCTGATCTCTGATGAGAAATGAGATATGTGACCACGGAGAAAAACATGAAATTATACAATTTATTAGTCAGAATTGGGGTTATGAATGTATCTCCACCGGCAAGGTATTTTGACTGGAGGCTGCAATGATCAGATGCTTAATATGGACAGTAAGGAAACAAAAGAGAACTACTATGAGAAATATGAGCATATGAGAATAATAATAATAATAATAATTTTTATTTAGGTAAGGTACATACATAAAGAGATTTTACAAAGTTTGTTGGCTTTATAGATAGAGCTAGTACATACAATGCCTAAAGCCACTATTACGCAAAGCGTTTCGGGCAGGAAAATATTGTATTGAAATATTGTATTGGTGAATTAATAAAGAAAATAGTTTGTAAAAAATATAAGAACTCTGTGGCATTCAACAGAATACATTTTTGTGTGTGAATGAAACTCGTGGATTATAATTGTACACACGATAAATATATAAATCCAAATGTTTGTTTATGAAAGGAAAGGTTTCTTAAGGATAAATGTTAGAATGCGTGAACCACACTGTCTCAATGATTAACATGATTATCTCATGAATAGTAAGTACTTTTCCTTCACATAATGTCATGTGACCAAGGTCCTTAGATACATAACACGTCATTGCTGGTCTGGGAGGGCACAACATATACCCTGGTGGTCTGGGAGGGCACAACATATACCCTGGTGGTCTGGGAGGGCACAACATATACCCTGGTGGTCTGGGAGGGCACAACATATACCCTGGTGGTCTGGGAGGGCACAACATATACCCTGGTGGTCTGGGAGGGCACAACATATACCCTGGTGGTCTGGGAGGGCACAACATATACCCTGGTGGTCTGGGAGGGCACAACATATACCCTGGTGGTCTGGGAGGGCACAACATATACCCTGGTAGTCTGGGAGGGCACAACATATACCCTGGTGGTCTGGGAGGGCACAACATATACCCTGGTGGTCTGGGAGGGCACAACATATACCCTGGTGGTCTGGGAGGGCACAACATATACCCTGGTGGTCTGGGAGGGCACAACATATACCCTGGTGGTCTGGGAGGGCACAACATATGCCCTGGTGGTCTGGGAGGGCACAAAATATGCCCTGGTGGTCTGGGAGGGCACAACATATACCCTGGTGGTCTGGGAGGGCACAACATATGCCCTGGTGGTCTGGGAGGGCACAACATATACCCTGGTGGTCTGGGAGGGCACAACATATGCCCTGGTGGTCTGGGAGGGCACAACATATACCCTGGTGGTCTGGAAGGGCACTGCACGTGGTCACTTAGTCTGCACTAAGCATGGTCTGCCCTCCTCTGGTCGGGACAAGATGGGCAGGTCAGTGTGGTCCGATGAACCACACAGCGTACTTGACATGGAGTGGGCGAGTCACACCCACCATGGCCAGGGATGACGCCACACCCACCATGGCCAGGGATGGCGCCACACCCACCATGGCCAGGGATGACGCCACACCCACCATGGCCAGGGATGACGCCACACCCACCATGGCCAGGGATGACGCCACACCCACCATGACCAGGGATGACGCCACACCCACCATGGCCAGGGATGACGCCACACCCACCATGGCCAGGGATGACGCCACACCCACCATGGCCAGGGATGACGCCACACCCACCATGGCCAGGGATGACGCCACACCCACCATGGTCTGCACCTGGTGACTGAAGGTCTTATGGAAGAGCGTCTCATAACACAGGTCCGGGACACAGGTCTGGGACACAGGTCTGGGACACAGGTCTAGGACACAGGTCTAGGACACAGGTCTGGGACACAGGTCTAGGACACAGGTCTGGGACACAGGTCTGGGACACAGGTCTGGGACACAGGTCTAGGACACAGGTCTGGGACACAGGTCTGGGACACAGGTCTAGGACACAGGTCTGGGACACAGGTCTAGGACACAGGTCTGGGACACAGGTCTGGGACACAGGTCTGGGACACAGGTCTGGGACACAGGTCTGGGACACAGGTCTGGAACACAGGTCTGGGACACAGGACTGATTGTCCAGCAAATAATTTGTCCAGAAATAGTCATTGGAAAAGCAAAGTTGCCCACTGAACTGTTGACAACGTTTGGGCAATATTGGTTTATCTCACTACACAGAGAAATCACATTGACCTGATAAATATCACGTTAATGTGATTTCTGTGTGTATGGAAGGAGAGGTCAGAGGTAGTACCACTGGTTGACAGAGCCTGAGTGCATGGGGGGATTGTGTGGAACCCCGGTTAGGGTTCAGTTGAAGCCTCGGGATCTTGGTGGGTGCAGTAGCACTCCAGGTTGCAATTCTTCTGACCAGGCTGATCAACCAGGCAGGATCAACCAGGCTGTGACTCGTACGTCAGGCTGCGAGCAGCCGCGTCCAACAGCCTGGTTGATCAGTCCGGCAACCAGGAGGCCTGGTCGACGACCGGGCCGCGGGGACGCTAAGCCCCGGAAGCACCTCAAGGTAAGGTAAGGTAACCATGTCGTGGTACAGTTGACTAGAGCGCGCCTGGGTTCAAAATCCACATCAAGCCTCCTGTGGATCTGTTCATTGGTTATAATCCAAGTTAAACAGAAATGTCAGCTGTTGAAATAGTTAATGACTTAGTGAAGATCTCGAGGCCAGTGACTGAAGTGTACTAAACGTTAACATTTTGTTCTGTGTGAAGAGCGTCAAGCGTCACATAGTGTTGAGGAGCATCAGTGGTCACTGTCCGCTCCTCAGGGTGATCAGTGGTCACTGTCCGTTCCTCAGGGTGATCAGTGGTCACTGTCCGTTCCTCAGGGTGATCAGTGGTCACTGTCCGCTCCTCAGGGTGATCAGTGGTCACTGTCCGCTCCTCAGGGTGATCAGTGGTCACTGTCCGTTCCTCAGGGTGATCAGTGGTCACTGTCCGTTCCTCAGGGTGATCAGTGGTCACTGTCCGCTCCTCAGGGTGATCAGTGGTCACTGTCCGCTCCTCAGGGTGATCAGTGGTCACTGTCCGTTCCTCAGGGTGATCAGTGGTCACTGTCCGCTCCTCAGGGTGATCAGTGGTCACTGTCCGCTCCTCAGGGTGATCAGTGGTCACTGTCCGCTCCTCAGGGTGATCAGTGGTCACTGTCCGCTCCCCAGGGTGATCAGTGGTCACTGTCCGCTCCCCAGGGTGATCAGTGGTCACTGTCCGTTCCTCAGGGTGATCAGTGGTCACTGTCCGCTCCTCAGGGTGATCAGTGGTCACTGTCCGTTCCTCAGGGTGATCAGTGGTCACTGTCCGCTCCTCAGGGTGATCAGTGGTCACTGTCCGCTCCTCAGGGTGATCAGTGGTCACTGTCCGCTCCTCAGGGTGATCAGTGGTCACTGTCCGCTCCTCAGGGTGATCAGTGGTCACTGTCCGCTCCCCAGGGGTGATCAGTGGTCACTGTCCGCTTCCCAGGGTGATCAGTGGTCACTGTCCGCTTCCCAGGGTGATCAGTGGTCACTGTCCGCTCCCCAGGGTGATCAGTGGTCACTGTCCGTTCCTCAGGGTGATCAGTGGTCACTGTCCGCTCCTCAGGGTGATCAGTGGTCACTGTCCGCTTCCCAGGGTGATCAGTGATCACTGTCCGCTTCCCAGGGTGATCAGTGGTCACTGTCCGCTCCCCAGGGTGATCAGTGGTCACTGTCCGCTCCCCAGGGTGATCAGTGGTCACTGTCCGCTCCTCAGGGTGATCAGTGGTCACTGTCCGTTCCTCAGGGTGATCAGTGGTCACTGTCCGCTCCTCAGGGTGATCAGTGGTCACTGTCCGCTCCTCAGGGTGATCAGTGGTCACTGTCCGCTCCTCAGGGTGATCAGTGGTCACTGTCCGCTCCTCAGGGTGATCAGTGGTCACTGTCCGCTCCTCAGGGTGATCAGTGGTCACTGTCCGCTCCCCAGGGGTGATCAGTGGTCACTGTCCGCTTCCCAGGGTGATCAGTGGTCACTGTCCGCTCCCCAGGGTGATCAGTGGTCACTGTCCGCTCCCCAGGGGTGATCAGTGGTCACTGTCCGCTTCCCAGGGTGATCAGTGGTCACTGTCCGCTCCTCAGGGTGATCAGTGGTCACTGTCCGCTCCCCAGGGTGATCAGTGGTCACTGTCCGCTTCCCAGGGTGATCAGTGGTCAGTGATACTGATTACTTGGCGCTTGAAGGATGAGCTTACTTGGTCGCCTGTGGAGGAGGTACTGAAGGAGGGAGGGTGTAGGGAGGAGTGCGGCTGTGTGGAGGGTGGCAGCACTCTATATACCCCAGCCTCCGCCGCCCACCGACCCGCCCCGCCCTTCTCCTAGCCCCGTGACGTCATACGCCGCCCGTTCTCTTGATTTGCCACTCCGTAAAAATAAAAAAATCAGCCTCTTGGCCTAGCCAGAAACATACGATCCCAAGAAATTCAGTAAATATCTGATAGACGTCATTTTTCTGAATAGGTTTTCATTTGTTGCGTAAAAAATGCGACTTATTAGTTGAGAGGAGGGTTTGGTTGATGGCTTTGTGTGTAGACCTTCTTTCTATAGCTACCGGGATGGTTCGTCACCCTCTTGTATTCTTAGTTTTCATTCTTAAATGTTTAAAACGTATGAGGAGAGGAAGAGACAAGAAAATGGAGGAGGAGAAGAGGAAGAGACAAGGAGGAGGAGAAGAGGAAGAGACAAGGAGGAGGAGGAGGCCAGGGCAGCTACAGGCCACACGAGTAACCAGACACACATAGCAGAAGGCCACAAGACTACAGGAAGACAAGAACATACACAAAGAAGACTACAGGAGGGAAGATTACAGGAAAGGAGACAACAGAGAGGCAGGATACTAGAGAAGAGGAGACTACAGAAGGAGAGATTACAGAAGAAGAGTTTACAGAAGAGGGGACTACAGGAGAGATGCATACAAAAAAAGAAGTTCCAGAACGACATAGCAGCTAAAGCCAGGGACTGGATTAAGGTGATACAGGGATACATTCAGAGGAAAACACGGACACAAGAAACGTAAGCATCAAGGAACACCCCCAAGAGAGCTAAACAAGGAACAACATCAAGACAGGTGAACAGAGAACAACACAAGAGAGCTGAACATGGAACACCCCCAAGAGAGCTGAACAAGGAACACCCCCAAGAGAGCTAAACAAGG